GGTCCACCATGTGCCACATCTGACTCCTGCTTCAAACCCTGATTCAGAACCCACTACCCTGCAACACCCTGGCCCCACTGCCTCTGTCCACCCCGGGAGCTGTGGCTCAGCCGCCTCTGCCATCTCACCCCAGCTCCCGCGTCTCCACTGTCCCTGGAGCCTGAGTGCTAAGCCCCATCGAGACACCTGACCCTAAGTGTGGGCACCTGCCTCACCAAGAAGACCCTGACAGGAGGGCAGGGGGTGAGGGGCTGTAACCCACGGTGCTGGGGGGGACCCCAACCCCACCACCGCGTGGCAGCCGTCTATTTCTCTGCGTGTCATTGACAGCAGCGGAGAATCTCTATAAAGATCAACCGTTCAGAGCAGGGTGACATTTGCCAGAATACATTTTCAGGGCCTGTAAATCAAATTCTGAGCCTAAACCACTTGACAGCTTTTAAAAATAGTCTGAGTCCATATAAGGCAAGAAGAAGGCAGAAAGACTTGATGGAGGTGGCTTTTTTTTAATTTTTATTTTTACTCCCATTTTATTTGGGCTTGCTGATGGCTACCTTTCCAAAGAAAATCAATTTGACTATGGCGCCTGAAACCTAAAATTAGCAGAAAACATCCATGGGTGAGGTAGCCTTTAAACATTGCCACCATGCAGAGAAGTGACGCTGCCCGGGGAGTGGCCGCCTACCTCCTGGATGTGGGCCACAATGCCCGCCTGGGTCTCGATGTCCAGCTGCTTGATTCTCTCAATGAACTCCTCCTTCCTCTCACACTGTGAAGGGTGGTGGACATTAACAGAAGCGTGTTCTTGAGCGAGGGCACACCCAGGGCCGCATCTACAGCCACAGTCAGTTTCAAGTGACCCGCCCACCCCAGCCTGGCTGTCTCCTACAGAAGGCCACCTTGTCCTCTTGCCCACCCTGGGCTTGAGGTTTCTCCGAAAATGGCTCAAGAGCTTGTTTTCAAAAGCCCATCCCCAAAAGCCCCTCCCTGATGGAAAACACTGGGTGGGACTCAGAAATCCATGCTTCAAACAAGACCTCGACACCTAGAGATTCTTCAGGAGGACCGGAACAGCAGGCTCGGGGCCAGAGGCACACCCTCTCTGTGAAGAGCCCGCACAGTCAGAGTTTTAGACTTGACACTGGGTCTGCACCATGGCTGCTGAGCTGGGCCACTGCTGTACAAAGGCAGCCAGAGGTAACAGCCCTGGACAGACCACGGCCGGACCGGCCACGGCTGTGTTCCAATAAACTTCTTACGAAAACAGGCAGTAGGTCCAATCTGGACCAGAGCTGGGCAGTCCACAGCTCCCTGCTCCAGATGTTCCTTTACTGGGGACAAGTTTCTAGTGGCACCTTGGCTGCAGGAGTCCTCATCAGGCCTCCTCCCCAAGGTACCTGGTACTAGAAACAGCTGTCACCTAAGACGTGGCCATTCTCTCCAGGGAACCCGGAGGCCTCTGTCACACTGGACTGAAGGCGGTGTCACCCCACCTGACCGAAGGGCGCACCT